AAACTCTAAACCCCTAAACCCTTAAGCCCTAAACCCCTATTAACCCTAAAACCCTAAACCCCTAATTCCCTAAACCCCTATTACCCCTAAAACCCTAAAACCCTAAAAAAACAAAACGCCCAGGACTCTTCCGGGCCAGCTCCAGCTCATCGTCCACCGGGGAGCGGCCCTCTCCTGCCCCAAGCCTCGGGGGCGAGGGGGGGTCGGTGGTGTTTTTCAGGGAGGTCGGGTTTAAAGGTTGGGGTTTAAGAAGGTTTTGGGAGTTTAGGACTTCGGTTTTGGGGTTTTGGACTTAGGTTTTGGGGTTTAGGACTTAGGTTTTGGGGCTTTTGGCTTTAGGAGCTTGGGTTGGTCGGGCATGGATGATGTACGGCATATACATATACACTCGCATGCATACATACATACATACATACATACATACATACATACAGTATGTATGTATGTATGTATGTATGTAGGTAGGTAGGTAGGTAGGTAGGTAGGTAGGTATGTACGTATGTATGTATGTGTGTGTGTATGTATGTGTGTATGTGTGTGTATGTATGTGTGTATGTGTGTGTATGTATGTATGTATGTATGTATGTATGTATACATATACATACATGCATACATACATACATACATGCATACATACGTACATGCATACACACACATACAGCGTACATGACTGCATACATACATGCATGCGTGCACGCATGGATACATGCATACGTACAAACACGCATGCATACACAAACACACGCGCATACCGACATACCGATACCCACAGAGTTACATGCAATCATGCATGCATTCATTCATTTATACATACATTCATACATACATACATCGGGTCGCAGGGCTTTGGTCCTTGGTTGATTTAGTGATTTTAGCTTACCGCAGGAAAATAAGATTCTGGTTTGAGATCTAGCTTTAGGCCCTTAGGCAGCTTCGGTTTCGGGCTTGAACCGCACTGCAACTTGATCTTGGTGTCACATGATTACGGAAAGCAGAACATAGCTGCATAGACCCGAAGTTTCTCGGAAGCCACATAGTCGGACCAAGTTGACTCTACTTAATACTTAACTGACTTAACAGAATATCCTAAAGAAACTGATTCAGGCACAGGTTTCAATAGCCAAGATGCTGTGAGAAGAAGCTGTCCACTTGTTTTCCTGCCTGTTCATCCACGACCACATCTGCAGCTTCAGGAATGGACTCAATGCCAGAATCATTCTCGCCTGAGTTGAGGGCTTACGCACAGCATGTGGGGTGTTTTTGTTTGGTACAGAATGACTCCCGAAAGCTGCCATCCGTTCTATGCCGGGATTCCCATAACTATGCGGAAGAAGCCCTTCTCGCCCCAGTCCTCGCCCCAACTGTTCTGCAGTTTCCAGTACTTTTGTCCACCCTCCTCACCGTAGCCGACCAAAAGCACGGCATGGTCAACTCTCTCCCATTCAGACTTGCTTGCCCCGCTCGGAGCACTCGGGGAACGGTAGATGCCGTCAGAGTACCACATAAAGTCTTCTCCAGGCTCAATACCGAGAATCAAAGGCCCATGATGAAAGAGCTCTGATTTGATTTCATTCACCTTGTCACCATGTTCTCCGTAATAAGACCCGACGTATCGATGGTTGTCGGCGCGGTAGCGCTTGCCACCCAGAGCCTTCAGATCGCACTCGAGCTCGCAACTCCCTTCCGTCGTGTACCTGAGGCATGCGCACAGGACTGGAGGATCCAAGTGCGAGGCACTGAACTGCAGCGATCTGCAGCGTGCCTCATGCAGTTCGCAGGCAGCAAGCCAACTTCCTGCGACCACTTTGCAGCCAGAATGCCGTAGCCTGCAGCTACAAACACTCCAAGGAGCACCAGAGCAACAAACTAAGCAAGCTCGGCCCGGAACGCTCGCTGCAAGCCCAGAAGCCTCCCTTGCAGCCCTGGTTGTACTCAGAGCACTGCAGCGGAAATGAAATTGACCTCGTTAAAATTGCGACTGCTATACAGCAACACGAATCCACTGCCCAACTTCCACTGCTGAATGTCAATGTCAAAAACGGTCCATGTGACGCCAGCATATGCCAGCCCTACACTTTAGCAGCATAACAATCCGTGACGGTGTCCAGTGTGGCTATGTGTCTCTCTGTCTCTGTGCAAGGGTGCGAGGGAGAGGAGGGGAGTGGAGGAAGACGGTTGCATCCCTGCCAGGATGCCAGGGCAGCACATTGGTGTCGTTTTGGTTGATCTTGTGTCGGGCCGTCAGCATGCGCATGGCAGAGGCCACATAGCAACTTCCACACTCGGACTGGTCCATGACAGGCTCGAGGAAGCTGCGCCCATTCACATCCGACCAGTCCCAGGAGTCTGGCAGCTTCGGCAGAGCCCGAAGGGAGCTTCCGGTTTGCAGAAAGCTCTTTGCTCGCTTCTTTTCCAAGCTCCTGTAGGATGCACCGTGCTGTCGAAGCATCTGCCCTACGCGATTCTCGCGCTTGATGCCAGCATAGCTGTTCACCTGCAGCAATGACAAGCCAGTCCACTTCTCCATCGGTCGCGCGCTCCATCCCAAAGACTGCTGCTGGATCATCTCCGTGAGGTTGTGAACCACCTGAAACGGCCCGAACAACAGGGACGACTGCTCCGCTTGACTGTCTCGATGCAGGCTCGTGCGCATAAGTTAGTATGAGTTGATATCCCGGAGGCCTAAATTAAAGCTCATCTGCTTTAGCTGTTCAGTGCCTGCCGCTGATGGTGATGAGACAGCTTGGTCTGATAGAAGAGGGTCTTCGGCTTCTCCCTGGAAGTAAGAGGAACTTCCTGCTTGGAATTGGACGCCCGCATCTCTTCATCGGACAAGATCTTGCTGGCATAGTAGCAACCGAATTGTTCTCGGTCCTTGCTATGGTACCAGCCAACCATGGTCTCATGGCAGTGGGAGATGTTGTGTTTCAGATGCCGTGCGTCGCCATCCTTCCCGAAGGTGAAGTTGGAGAATGCAAAGAAGTTGTGGTTGCCAATGCTCACTTCAAAGCCCTCATCATAGATCATCGTCCAGGTGCCTGGCTGGTGTTCGTCAGCCTCTGCGACATTCGGGTCTTTCAGGGAGATCAGCAACTCCTTGTCAACCTTCCCGATGTGCTCCGCTCGCCCCGGTTGCAGGTCTTGCGAGTCTGGGCGCAGATGGCCACAAGAGGACCTCTGGCTGCTTAGCCGGCCCAGGCTGAACCTCCAATTACCAATGATCTCGTGATGGAGGCAGTGCACCGGAAGGTCAGCGACCACCAGGCCAGTGAGGGCTGGGATGATCAGGGCATGCAAGCCACGCCACAACATCAAGCCTGGGCAGCGCCCCAGGCGAACTTCAATAAAGCGGGGTCGGACCTCCACAAGCAGCCTTGGCGGCCCATCCGGTGCCGCAGGCCACCTGTCAGATGGGCCCTTGAGCAAAGCAGCCAGTTAGGACGCGCATTCTCTGCAGAGCCATAAGCAGGACCCTGTTGTCTTCAGCAAAGCTTGGCATGCTGCCTGAGTTGGCAGTCTCCCCTACTCAGTACTCAGGCAGACACTGTCGGATGACTGCGGTCTTGTCAGTGATGCTGTTGCCTTGCACAGCATTATGACTCGACAGTGGCAAGCCATCATCCCGATCCCAAGTCAGCATATCCGAAGGCCCGGCATGCATGCTCCATGAAGGTGTTCCAGTAGGGCACACTCAACCTAAGATCAAGGATAAAGCGAAACTCGACCTACCTGCACGGCAAGGCTTCGATTTTTAGGAAACACTGGGTCCAACCTTCCCTGCGCTCGAACAAAGAACAGTTCAGTTCTTGAGATCTGGCATAAGCTGTGTCTCTTCACCTTTCCGAAAACTGCCGAGCCTATGTCATTGTGTATCCAGGCCGACACATCCTCAACAAAATAAGTAGGTATAGCTACGGTACAGCGACGTCGCTCCTTTGCAGTTCGTCTTTGCGTCAAAAGGGGGTGTTTAAGGACGGACCTATGCCAGACATGCCATATTTCAGATGGCTGAGACCGTAACTCTCCCAAGCACGCAACCACCTCATCGGCAATGTACAGGGCAAGACCTGCTTTAGGGCTCACAGGCTCACAGCGGATGATTTAGCACCGCCGCAAAGCCCCGTCCCTGCCTCTCTCGCTATCACTGCCCTTCTGGAGCAGATCACGGACTAGCCTTGGAAATCCAAAGTCTGGCGACTGAAGTTGGTGAAGTTGGCCAAACCTAAACCCGATCAGGCCAAGGCCCCATGAAGATTGAGAGGCCCACCTGTCTCTGTACACGTTACGTTCAGGACCCGTACACCTGTGCCCCGCCTCTGCGAATTCTTCACGGCTAGCCCGCATCAGCGCTCCGGCGACGTCGACCAGGCTGAAGCGGACAGACTGACGGCTCACGTTGCCTGGCTGCAACCCTTCGACCCTCCTGTCGGGAGTAAGCTTGCACCGTGTCGGCAGGCACCTTCATCGGAGTCACTCTCCTCCTCGTCGCTGTCATCCACCTTCAAAGGCTCGGACTGGATCCGAGAGGGGGTGAAGCAACATCAATAGATGGCGACGTGCCTTTCCCTGGTTCTTTTTCTTGGGCGCCGCTTCAGCCTTTCGAGCATTCCACTGTCCAGAGACAAAGTGATACTAGTGGCATGGACAACATCTCTGTCTGACTTGGACACTGGCAGGCTCGTTCTCGATCTGGACTCGTTCTAACAATGTTTTCAGGACCTGGCAGTGTACGTCTCAAGAGCTTGAAGTCCGCACCTGCCGCTGTCAGCCTGGACCAGGTTGAGAACGTCCTGCTTCGAGAGGACGTTTCTGCCCGCCTGCAAAGGTTGCGATAATCCCATGCCCTGTGGGGTTCGCAGTCCGCAAAGACACCTGCCTTTTTGATGACCCCAGCCATTGCAGAGGCTTGTGCCTGGAGAAAGGCCGTCTACAAAGACCATCTGCGCGAGTCGTTGTAATAAAGTCTCGCAGCCTGCAGCTGGGATAAATTCGCCGGACCATGCTCCTTCGGATCGTCCGGAAGCTTCAGCATCATCGCAACCTCCGGAAGGCTTCCACTTGCGATCGGACTGTTTCGATACGCCTTTCCGAGGAAGCATCAACTTCACCAAAGGCACACCAGCTCACGCTCGAGCCGTGTTCAGCCGAAAGGACTGGCACCCGGGAATGCTCATAAACTCAGGTTCCCACCGTGCATTTCAGGAACTCGCCCACAAGCTGGCCAACCTGAGCGATCTCCCCAACCCCCGTTGCACGTAGCCGCCTAGCCGGGCAAGCCTACACAGCACCCAAGGTTCCAGCTATTGCAGGCTCGCACTTGCCGTTTTCAGCGGCACTGCGCGCACAATGGACAACCTCGAATTCATTTCCTGCTCGAACATAAGGGAGGTTGCAGCAAGTGCTGTTCAACGGTGAGCGCCGAGCATGTTCCCAAGTCGCATTCGCCTTGTCCTTCGAGCACTCACCATGCACCAGACATCCGAACATCCGATGTCATTGTGCTTCTTATGGTCGCGTACACACGTAATCCAGCAATCCTGCACATCCTCGGACACTGGAAAGTCCAGAAGCGGCATCCTTGAAAAGGGGAGAAACAGGTTTCCATAAAGAGTAAAGGATTAGGAGGGAAACAGGCTATACATGGAACACTCCCAGCAGAACGGCTCCAGGGTCGCGCACTGCGGTAAAAAAGCTCATCGGAAGAACTCCCCGAGCCTCCCCCGAGTCTCCCGGACCGGAACCCCGGTTTGGCGCTTCGAGGGGGCTGGACCCAGAAAGCCGATACCAACCGTGAAGAAGCTATTTGATGCAATTTCAGTGCCAGGAAACTAGAAGCCAAACCGCCCTGGTCCTGGATGCACCCCAGATGTCAACTGCACACACAACATTCAGCAATTGCAAGACCTGTCATGGATTTAATTGATTTAATGCCACCTCTCCGAAGTTTTGCCGGGGCGTCATGCAGTTTTCTCTTCTGAGCTTCATTTTTTCGAAAGGGTGCGAGAAAGAGGAGCAAGCCCTTCGAAAGGGGCGAGGGACACTTATTTCTCGGATTCTTGACTATGCTTTGAGTGCATGTGTGCCTCTTTTTCAACATCTCGAGTTGTTTTCGTGCAGTTTGCTCCTCTCTTGCTTATATTCCGCGGTGCCGATCAGAGCGGCTTCCTCTGTTCCCCACTTCTCTACTCTACTCTTTTGAACAGATTGTCTCCTTTCCTTGGCAGGATATATGATCCGCTTCGATGTTTTGCCTCTTGGGCAAATGTGAATCTTGCCCAAATCCTCTGGTTCCTTTTGGGAAGGATTGCGACGGCTTTGTGTCCACGTTCGAGCATTTTGTTCCGCTTCATCAACTTCTCGTCCCGGTTGGGTGGTTTGCCCCAGTTCCAGTATCCTTTAGTCCCTGTTTACTGATTCGCTCTTCCGCTTTCGGGCAGTGTCTTTTTCGGTTTCGTTAATCCCCTTCGGGCGGTTTGCTCCCTTGTCAAACACTCCATCTCATTTTCGAGTGGTTTGCTCCATTCATTCCCAAGCCAAGCCCCTTCCTTGCGATTTGCGCATCGGTTTCAAGTTCTTCCGTCACTTTCGAGAGGCTTGCTCCTCTTTCTCAATTATCCTCCCCTTTGGCGCGATGTGCTCCTTTTTTACAATGTCTTCAAATGTGTTCAACCCGACCGAACGTTTCGCTTATCCTTTTTTCCATTCCGCTTCTCCGTTAACTCCAGTTTTTTCACATCCTCTGATCCCTTCCCAGCAGTTGTCCTGGTTCGGTTCCTTTCGATCTTCTCTTCTTTATTCTTTGGGCAACGCCTTTAGCCCCTTTTAACTTTTGCGTGCTCAAATTATCGTGCCCCTTTCGTGCTGCTCTCCTTCTCAGATTCTGCAAATCCCTGCAAGGCGGCGTGCTCCTCTTTTCCAACTTCTCTAGCTTCTTTTGCTCACGTCGCTCGGCAAGGTATCGACTGCCTTTCCAGCCGTCTCATCCCTTCCTATCGTTAGTCGCTTGTCCATTTCGACCGGTCTGCTCCTTTCAACTCTAGTCCGCTCCGAAGGGTTTGCTCTTGCTCCTCTTAAACCTCCCCTTCTCAATCTTCGAGTCCCTTTCGAAGGATTGCTGCTCTTTTCTTTCAACTTCCACACCCGCCCCTCTTCACCGAAGACCTCGAAAGCTGCCCAGAACCCGGAGCCGACCCCGCAGCCCAAGCGGTCTTCGCGCATCCTTCGAGAAGCTCCCTCGCACAGTCAGAGCAGCTGCTGTCCAATGTTGGGCCACTATCATCATCATCATCATCACCGTCATCATCAGATCTCTTCAAGGCTACGAGAGCTTGAACTCACACTCTCGGTTTCCAGCAACTGGCGACAGGTATCTGGGAGGAATTCCACAAATTCCTCCTCCAAGGCCTTGGAAGCACTGGCGATGCGCATCCGCTGGCCAGCTTGCGCAGAACAGGAAGCCACCTCCATGAGCGCGGTGATCAGCTGCAGTGTCTCCCCCATTTCGTCCAGCACCGCTGTCTTCAAGCCCAGAAGCCTCATCTCTTCTGTGAGCCATCGGCGCCAACAACTCTTAGCTTGCAGAAAGGAAGCTTGCCGTCACTCAAGACCTGGGTAAACTCGTCGTCGTCTTCGGGAACTGGCCAGGCTGGCACCTGCGTAGGAAAAAGGCCCCGACCCTTTTTCAGAGCCCTTCCTTGGCACCTCTTTCGGCTGCTGCTGCAAGACCTTCAGGAGGCTCGGGAGCAGCGCAGGCCTGGAGCAGTTTAGTGCCGCACGGGCCGGGGTGGCTTTAGGACGGTGACAGAAGTTTGCAGAAGCAGATTCGTGATGACAGGGTGCGATCATGCAACGATTTAATTAAACCTTGCCCAGCCACATGTAGGGCTTGAAATCCTTGCCCAACACGCCGGCCACCCGCCCAGCGGCCTCGCACACCAAGAGCTTCGGTTTCGTGCCGGCTTATTTACCCACTGGCCCGAAGATGCTCCGAAAGACATCCACGAGGAGAGACGGAGGCGTTGCCGCGACCGTTAGGCGCGCAGCACATGCCGAAATTAATTTCAAGCAGCCTCATGCACGTACTCCCTGGTCTGGTCATCTGCTTCGAAGCCAGCTCGGATGTAGTGCACCATGATCTGCATGATGCCATGCGCATCGTCCACGAAGGCGTCCTCACAGTGCAATATACGAGGCATTCCTCTGCAAGACACCCTGGCTCCCGTGACTCTTCCGCACACCCAAGGTCGACGTCCTTGCCGACTCCTTCTCCGAGAAGGCTGGCACCTTCGTATTCTGCAGACAGCCCGAACACCCCACTCCAGGATGGCAGCATACATTGACGTCCAAGACCACTGTTGGGTCCAAGCATATCTCGGCAAGGCACACTCGAAGGCTTTGCCGCGGAGACTCTTTTGATGATCCTTGGAGGAGTTTGCAATCAGCTCCTTCAGCGCAGGCCTCAGCAAATCAGACAGCACATCTTCTAAGGGACATGATCTCCATGCTGACCTGGAAAAGCAGGCAGAACACTCGATGCTCGACACTCGTCTTCTGTCCTGCTTCGAACCCCCTCACCATCCATGTTCAATCATGAACCAGGCCGACTTGAAGCTGACCGACAAAGGAGCAAAACGCACTGACATGAACTGCATTGACTCGAAGGGATACTGGAAAATCTTGACGAGCCCAGTGACATAATTTCCTTGTAGTAGGGCAGGAAAAGATCAGACGCAGCTTCTCCCACCACCGCAATGGCCTCAATGTCTCAAAACCCTCCACTCTCCCGCAGGGGCATCCTCATCTTGGCACCAGAAGCACCAGTAAGATCCACATACAAGGCAAGCGGCTGAAAGGCAAGTCTCCTGCATAGCTTGCGATTGGCTGTGCTTGAGGCGGGTGAAGAGCTTTGTCATCCTTGGGCTGAACTTGCCGGCAGGATTCGAATCTTCATCGCCGTGCATGTGGTGAAGTCACACGAAACCACGACCGCGCGAACAACTCCGTTTCTCTTGTACATATTGTGCTTGATCTGTTTGTTCCGACAATGCAGGGCATGGCCAGCCTGAGCTGACCTCGACTGCAGCAGAATTTCGACTGCACTGCTGCTGGGCTGCATCAGCACAATCGATAGAACACCACTACATGTCAAGCAAGGGCTTCAACTCAAAGCCTCTATCGGCTGATGCTGCTCGATCAAATCCGTCGGACTTGCTGATTCTCTCGTTGGCGATCTGGGCATGCCAAATTCGGTAACTTCCGCCAAGTTTCAACTCTTGCATGTGGGGCTCGAGGTCTTCTTCATCCATGTCCTGCTTCGTTGAGCTTGGCTCTCTGCGACATAAGGTTGGCACGACACCACAGGAATAACAACAGCAACAAGAGTTGCAAAAGCACTGGTGACAACAATACAAGTGAAACGCACATGTCTCCACAGCTGTAAACTTCCCTAAGAAGGAATACTGCTTGCCTGTCCATCCTACATTATTGCATGGTAGTTAGTTAGCTACATGTCGCTACTGCTCTTGGTCTTGCCATCTGAATCTCATTGACGTCGTGGCTACACCATGCGTTTTCCAACTGCGTTTGTAGCATCATCCCAAGACCATATGAGTACTTTTTGCTTCTTGTTGCTGCTGTTAAAATCTGTTAAACGAAACATATTCATCGCTACTATGGTGTTGTTTTTATTATGGTTCCTAATCGTATGTACTGCCAGTACAGTTACTCTTCCATGATTAGAGTTGTTGTTGCTGGCCGTTAGTACTGATAGTTGTTCTCAAAGCATCGCGAGGTACAGAAGGTCCCCCTCCTCCATGCTGGCAAGGGCGCTCGCGCTGCTTGTTGCCACACGAATGTTGCTGTCATCTAATCCAGCCCTTAGCTGATTTAATGTTTGCTGCCAACAAGTTCACTTCGACCTGAAGGCTCTTGCAAATCAAGTCCTCCAAGGAGCATCAACGACCAATCCCCTAGCGGCCCTAGCCCAATCGCTCTTGCCGCTCTTAATCGGGAATTTCAGGAGTCAGGGCCGCGAGGGCTATGGCGACTGCGCAGATCACTTCGAATTAAGGCAGCGACAGGATCAGCGGCAGCACAGTCTCTGCGTGGGTCCTCGGAGGGAAGCTCTTCGTTGTGGGAAAGTGCTTTCTGGCCATGTAAGTGCATGTCAATGTGCAAGCGGGGCTCTCAGCTACGTACGGGTCATGGTCATAGGCCGTCTGGCCGACGGCTGTGAATGCAGAATACCGAACTCGAGGATGTGCATGAGATGTATGCGGGACCAGAAAGTCTATGCACCTTGGCTGCTGGTGATGAGATTCAGAAATGCGGACGCTGCTCATGGCAGCTGCCTGGCATGATACTGCAAATGTACAGTCGAGAGAATGACAAAGCTAAGGAGGGAGGGGAAGGGGAGCAGGGGAGAAGGGAAGTGGAAGGAAGGACGAAGGGGAAGAGCAAGGGGAAGGGAAAAGTGAATGGGAGAGAGGGGAGAGGGGAGGGAGAACGCAGACGTGAAGGCTGCTCATGTTCGGGCTTCTCGTACAGGTCCACCCACTCTATCCAAGTCACTGGTCCACCCAGGCTTCCTCCTCGATATATTCCACGACCTGCAATCAGATGGCAATCAAGAGGCTTGCCCACATGGCATGGAATGGAAAGCAGGGTGCAACACTGCGGATTGAAGTTTCTGCGGCGCTTGTCGCGGTGGTAGTCGAGGCCAGACCCTTGTACAGCACCTCGGTGATCCTTGCCGAGAGCCAGGTCTGCAAGCGAGCAGCGCGCGACGGCCTCCAGCAGGAAAGGAGGTGCCAGACCAAGTGTCAGAAGGCTCAGAGTCTGTTGACTTCCGCCGCTGCAGAGAGGAGCCCACAGCAGCTTTGCATAGGTGGCTCAAGGGCCAGGGAGCAGGCTTGAACGGGCAACCTTGCCGGGCAAGTGCCCAAAGGCTGCGGCTCCAGCTTGGCCGAGGCACTCCGGCCTCATTAGATTGATTGGGCCTTGTAGTGGCCGGCTGGGACCAGAGTCCCGACTTTAAAAGCACCACAGCTTGGTCAGCGGGTCGCTGGCCGGGCTGCTGGTGAGGAGAGTCGGGTTCTGCTGAATCTGCAGCTGCCCTGGCTCGGGAGCCACTTGAAGGCTGCAGCGCTGCAGGGTGGCATGCATGTTGGGCCGACTTGTTGCCTTGTCAAGCAGTGGCTTGACCCTTGCCCGCAACTCCCCGCCTGCGGGGTCATGGGGGATCTGGCGGATGAGGCAATAGAAGGTCCAGCCAACCTGGAAGGAGTCTTCTCCGAGATATTGCCGTTCTTCTGCCCTTTCGGGCGACACCGCAGCTAGGTTGCCGGGCATTCGGTCCATGATCTGCTGTGGATGCTGCAGTTTCTGCGCTGCATCAAAGTCGATGAGCTTCACCTTAGTTGCCGAGTCAAGAAGTGTAAACTTTCAGTTCTACAGGAGATAACTATGCTGTAACGTCAAGTGCAAAGTGCCCCCATTCAGCTACTAAGGGACGGGGAAGTTGCAAGAACTCTGGAAGCAGATGTTGGCGGG